ACAAATCGTTCAGTGTCATCATATTCACTTCCGATGTCAAAACAAAGTTGCCAAATTTTCCACATGAAACCAAATATGAGGATGAAGAATGCCTATCTGGCCTATTTTTTTTTTTAAATGAGAAAATTCTAACTCCTGTCATTTGCATGTAACCACAATATCCTTACAAGGAAATTAAAACTGTGTCCTTAAGTATTACTGTCCAAATATATCCTTGAATATCTGGTTTTATTATTTAAACCTCATTTCCTTTCATTGAAGACGTATTACAGCATTTCTGCATCATAAATTATACAAACTCATGATAACGGTGTATGCTTCACGCTATAATTTCTTCCTCATACTTTTTACATTTATTTAAATGAAGCGACACCAAACCCTCGCCGTTTGTGGTTCTTGAAAACCCCACGGACGGCAAAACCTCGAGGTTCGAAGTTAAGAACTTTGAGGAAAAATCTGGTTAGGGAAACCAAAAACTCGCAAAACATAACACAATATGTACAATTAATTATTAATAAGCATGAGAACATTTGGGCTAATGCCGAAATTCCTGGCTGAAAGTTGTCAGGGTGACAGAACACAAGGGCAACAATCGTTTCCAAGAATTGCGAAAAGTACAGTCGCAGTACACTTGGTGTGGAACGATATCTACATAGCTACTGAGAGAGGCGGGCAGATACGGGCTGGCGTGTATTACTTACTCCGCGCGCCTGCGCAAAAAGGCGACAGCGAAAGTGCGATGGATCGATACGCAAACATTATCACAACTTTTCCACGAATGAAGAAAACAGCGAAGCCCATCCCGTTCTCTAGGAGTGTCTGATGTAAGGTCGAATTTAATAAGAAGCAATCCAGTTGATAATATGCAATTAAAATTCTCCCCAAAAGTAGCTATCGATATATCGACACTGAACTTCCGCAGAGGAGTTATTTCGGAAGTCGGTAAATGAGGAAGAAAATCATTACGAAGGCGAAGGTAAACAAGATAGGGTAAAAAATGTGTATATACGAGGTGCGATCGGAAAGTTTCAAGACTGTGTCAATAGAGGGCGAACCGGATGTAGTACGAGCTTCTGCCGCTAGGGGGTGCGG